ACATGAAGTAATTCCTAATGACGCTGTGTTAATGGATGACAGGATAGAGACTGAGTGGGATAGTAAAAGAAGCCATTGTAAAGAACAGGAACTTGTGGAGATCCATGATCGTCAACGCCCTGAAGGGACACGGATCATAAAAGGAAAAAAGTAGAACGGTTCGCTGCTAAGTGATACGGAGAAATACTGATTTGCTACAATCTTCAAATTAAAATGGATCCCGCTTTGAAAATTAACATTCAAAAATCTAATTTTCTTTCAGATGATTTTGACAGTTGTAAGAAATAGGTACCTAGGGGTCGACTCAGCCAGGGTAGTGTTGTAATTATATCAGCTTCGAGAGCCCAGGTTTGGGGGAATGGCGAGGGGTCTTAAGCGATTTTGAAACCGCTTTCTGGGTTTTGCACATTAAATTCCGACCTTGTGTCACACTCTGTTGTGACGTGGGCGTGGATAAATACCTACATATATAACGGGAAAAAATTTTCAGGGGGAGATAATTCTATGAAAATTATTATCGAGTTATGTCCCTTGAGTATAAAAACGGAAAGAATTGTTGCTTTTCTTTATACAGTGTAACCCGGATATAAGAGAGTTGTGTATAGTGATTTTCCAAGCGTAGCTTCGATGTGGCACAAAACAGAAAGTATGAGGCACCCAGTGAGGATCGAACTCACTACTCAGTCGTAATTGTTCTAACGAGACAAGCTTACTAACCATTCAAGCGTAGCTTGGATGTGACACATGGCCGAAAGTATGGAGCACCCAGTGAGGTTCGAACTCACTACACAATTGTAACTATTTTATATGTTAAACTTTCAAGAGTGCAATTAGAAATATTATTCGTAAATTCAAACAAACTGGGTCGGTGGAAGATGTGAAAACACCATTGCATGTGCTCGTTTACGTCGTTCATCTGAAAACATGGCTGCAGTGCACGAGAATATGGCCGAAAATCCAGACCCCTCTATTCGTCTAAGCGCGCAGGAATTGAAACTCTCCACAACAACTTTACATCGTTTCCAATTGAACGCTTGGTTGTTCGATTAGGTTGACCCCCAAAAATCGGGAAGTGCGCGAAATGTATTTCTGTTTGGACGTCCATTTTGTAATAGGCTTTGATAACTTTAACACGTTTTTTGATTGTTAATCTTTCCATGGTTGAAATTGCTAAAGACTTAAGCTGTTAAATCTGAAAGAAAAAGAAAAACACAAACAGAAAATGTCTCATATCGAGAATATTTAATATTGAACATGAGGAAAAATTAATTATTTTTAATAATATGTGTAAATCTCCACTTTTACCTGAAGACGGTCGCGAGACCAAAAACACGTATCGTAAAATTATATAAAACAAAGCATAATATTTTTCTAAATAAATCCACATTACAACCAAAAACGTTTGCGGCACCTCTCTTCTCTTCTTTTTAATATACATACTTTTCTCTCTTTTTTTATATATATATATATATATATATATATATATATATATATATATATATATATATTTATGAGTGTTTGTGTGTGTGCGTGTGTGTGTATGAGTCTGTGTGTGTATATGTATATACACATGTCCCACATGGAGAATAATATATCCCATATATCTACACGACAAAGCGGAGTGTAATGAGAAACAAAAAGGAAGAGTCTTATTGCTCTTCTGCTTCTGGAGAAGGCATTTTTAGGACTCAAACGGGTTGGATTCATCTACTATTTTTTCCAGGCGAGGACATCTGTCCTGGGTATGACGATAAACTACATCCGCGTCCTGGGTAAGACAATAAACTACATCCGCGTTCTGGGTAAGACGATAAACTACATTCGCGTTCTGGGTAAGACGATAAACTACTCCGCGTCCTGGGTATTACTGTAAACTGCATCCGCGTCCTGGGTATGACCATAAACTGCTCCACATCCTGGATAAGACGATAAACTACATCCGCATCCTGGGTATGACTGTAAACTGCATTCACGTCCTGGGTATGTCGGTAAACTACGTCCAACAGCAAGACCTCTGATCAGGAGGTTTTGAGGAGCTTGGAAACACTCTTAATTGCTGGTTTTCCCAGGTCCACACGGCCGCAATTTTCGACGGATTTGCACCAAAATTTACATGCACATGCTCCAAGTTAGCGGGAAGGGTAAGACCGTCTTTGCATTTCCCAACTCTCATCGATAGTGGAAATAGTCGATATTTTCATGCTTCTTCGGCACTTTTCATGTAGTTTGCGGCCATTTTCTACTGGCCAGAGTGAGAGTCTATAGCTGGCTGCCACGAATAGGCAGAAAGATTCTATTGGCCAGCGTGAGAGCCAACAGCTGACTGACACGAATGTTAACTAGCATGCTAGCATGCAAAAAAATTCGATAGCTGCATTCGTCACAAGTGGGAAAAATTTAAATCTGCATGGCACTTTACTCCAATTGGCTCATTCGCTTGCTTAAATTCAACGTTGATTCTGATTCCGCAGAACTTGGTTGGGTGTGAAAAAGTATTTGTTGTTAACATTCTTTTTTCATTCGGTTTTTCCAGTTACGAGTCCTTTTTTAAAGCTGATCGTTTCCTGTTCATTTTGTTTAGTTCTTTTTTCGTAACAGATTTAATGTTTAGTATAGAGCTTAGAAAAAATTCAGATAGGCAAGAAGTAAGGCATGTAGCAACAGCAGCACGGCAAAGGGCACTCCTTTAAAGGCAAGGAAGGGCAAAAATATTTTAAATCAAGTGATAGCGATTGCTGTATGAGTCGTACGATTTTTGAATCAAGCACGGGCAACGCCGGGCCATGCTGCTAGTATAAATATAAAAGTGAACATTGAAGTCAACACTCAGAGGTGACAGGCTGTTTCATGCTAGACCTGATGATTGCATCTAGCATGAAACAGCCTGTTGCCTCTGAGTGTTGACTTATAAAATCTCATCAGTGCATGAGTCAATTTTAATGAAGCTACCAAAACATTTAATCTAGAACTGGCTAACACCCTTTGGAGATATTTTAAAATTTTGAGCTAAATAATTTGATTTAAGCAGATACTACAAAAAAAGTAAGCCTTTCAATTGATCTATGTAAAGAGACTGATAAAAAAATAATTGAAAGTCTTTTTATAATATACACAGAGAAATATTTTGAACTCTCTATGAATTTCATAGAGAGAGAAAAAATATTAAGCCATATTTTAATTTTTTTTTTGGTTTTTTGTAAGAAAAAATAAATCAAAATTAAAAATGTCTAGTGTAATTTTTGCAAATCACATTTAAATATATTGAAGCTAACGATAAAACTTATGGTAGTGGGAGCTGAAAGGTTAAGGGGATTTATTCTAAAATTTTAATCTTCATTATATTTGGTCGTTCAACATTAGCTTTCTTCAGAAGCAACATTTTTAATTGATATATTCTATTTTTAATATATTTATTAATAATTTCTCATAACTTACAAATTTAGAAACTCCCTTTTTTTAAACTTTATATTTAATTTATATATATATATATATATATATATATATATATATATATATATATATATATATTTTTGCAAATTTGGAAAGCTTTTTAGGTCATGAGTTTTAAATTTTATCCCTGTATGAAAAGACAAAACATAATAGACTGCACGGAACAGAAAATTCAACAGTTGGGATCACTGCAGTTGGTAAATAAACAGTTTGGTTCTAAACATTTTCAAGTGGAGATTTCATTTTTATTTTGGGCATTTGAAAAATAGTCAAGAATTAAAAAAAAAAAAAAAAATTCAAGGAACTGATAGCAAATTTCCTGTAAGGAAACCTATTTCAAATGATTTATAAAAAAAAAAAAAAAAATTTAGTTTTGTTTCCCATGAATGAAAAGGGTGTATCCTCGTGAAAAATCTACAAAATGGCTGGATTCAGAAGAAAAGCTCGAGTTTGAACAGATCGCCAGTGAGTAAACACAGGTGATCACATTATTGAATTAAGTGGATCACGTGACCATAGAGGAAATGCATATTATAGGAAGTTGCGTGACATCTAATTGATCACCATTTCTATTCTATCCTCTATTACTATCAGTCAGTTATGTGCCATGAGTGATACACGCTTAGGCGATCATGTATCTTTTGATTAATGACTGACAAGGCATTTTTTTCCGCAGTAGGTTGCCATTTCTTTCCGCAGTAGACCAGTTGCCATCCTAGGCTATAGAACCCGGTCTGTCCTGCTATTTACCCATGGAAGTGGATACATATATTTACCAAGGGTAATAGCACATGAGTTAACGTATTGAATTTGACTGGAATTCGAACTCGGCTCTCCGTTTCCTCAATCCGAGTCGCTATCCATTACACCACCGTGCCTCCTTCTTCTATTACTATATGGACCGCTATTCTCCACTCTATTCACTATGCTATTTATCTATTTTGATCACTATACGGATTACTATTCAAGCGAGTATTATCGACCTAGTACTATTAGTGAGAGTGATATTCGAAGGTGTCTGACACCAGTATTGTTCAACGGCGTTACTATAGTGGTAAATGTGATTATAAAGTCTCTACTACAACGAGCATTAAGAAAGTGGCAACGAGTATTCATTGTCATTACAAACGTGGCAACGAGTGTTCGTTTACATCATAAAAGAGAGGAAGAATAAGTGACGAATAAGTTCGTCCGATCGTGTTTCTTTCGATTCATAACGGATTAGAGAGAGGATCTTCTCGCAGTAGGCTGGCGTTTCTCTCTGCGTTAGACTAGTTGCCAATCAAGGCCTTGGGGCCCAGTCATCTATGACACGACACTGCACATCCATCAAAAATAATCCATCGAAGTTGTTGGCGAGTCATGGTTTCTAGGCCCGGTATCTTTACGCGGGGGGGAAATTTCGTTGTTTGGGACCCGGTCCTACCACGGAATGTGAGAAGAAGAAAAGTTTTGAGCATGGAAGTCTTGGCTACGAATTATTTGAAGTGTTCAATGGGTAGCCACTCCATGGCGCACACATTTCAGCTGATACCATCTGCTGCGGCAAACTAGTGCTTGATAGATAGATAGATAGATAGATAGATAGATAGATAGATAGATAGATAGATAGATATGAACAGATTGGGGTAGATAGATAGATAGATAGATAGATAGATAGATAGATAGATAGATAGATAGATAGATATGAACAGATGAGATAGATAGATAGATAGATAGATAGATAGATAGATAGATAGATAGATAGATAATTTAACTATTTTCTTTTGTTCAGAGAAAATCCTTCTTCAGCATATTTTGGTTAATGAGCTTAAAAATACCTAAAATAAACAAATTTAATCTATGCAATATTCTTGTCATTGCAAATTTCATAAGCATTTTTCCTATATACAACTCTGGTCTAGACAGAGCTTGATCGAAAATTTATATGTAGCATAATTTGCTAATCTTCCCTGGCAGCCGCTTTGGTGTATAAAAATTCCCCAAAAGGGAATTGCTCATGGACCTTGATTATTTTTGTCTCGTGTCATATACACGTGGGCTCCTACTTTAAATTCAACCATTCTCTCCACTTCAGTCGTGCCTATATATGCATTAAACTTTAGTTGATGTTTTTCTACAAGTGATATAATTCAATAATTATTTTACAAGGGAGATAATTCCCAAGTGATTTAATAGAGTTATTCCCCTTGTGTATTATAGGTTAAAACTAAAAGTATATTATTCGTCCAGAAATTTAAACATTCATGATCACAATTTTGACCTGGAAAACACTGGTTCATTAAAAAAAAATTTAAATAATTCACTCAGACGAAGAAAAATTTAAAGTATCTCAAAAGAAACGCGATAGCTAAGGTTTAAAATGATTTTTTTAAATTAAATTGATTTTAGTTTTAATTTCAATCTAATCGATTAAATTTAATATTTCCAATAAGCAAAATACTAAAACTAATTTGAATTGACAGGAAGGAGTTTTCGTTTTGTTTTTGTTCTTAAATCGTTAAAATTCTCTGGTTTAGCCATATTTAGCCATCTGTCAGCACAATTTAATTCTCTTTATAAAAAAATCTTTCGAAAATAACATACTTTTCTGAAACTTTATTAGATGATTTAAATTTAATTAATTGGATTTGAAACAAATATTACTACTTTTACTTTAAGATAGCACATACTGGGATGAATTTTTTTTTAATTTTTTACTGAAGTTTGTAGTGGATCTCAGAAGGTTGCGTGAATATTTAAGTTTGTGATGCAAATAAAATATGCAATATCAAAATATAAATTATAAGAAATAGCCAATTGTTAACGATATTCAGTCACGACAAAAATACATGTTTGAAACAACAGTTTAAATTTAATATACACAATTTACAATTTCTTTGTTTGTAATGATATGTGCAAAGGTATAGAGTAAAAGTTCTTTGCTGTTTCAGAAATATTCAATGTCTAAAAAGTTGTCTGCCTTTGATTGAAACGTTGAATTTAACTTAGACAAAAGATTTTTCTATAAAAGATATTGAGTGAAAAATGTTTGTTGTATGAATTTTTCTAATCTCTTATAAAGAAAGTTTGCTTCTTTGGCAGCAATTTTGACACATTATTCTCGTGGGTATCTTTGCGTGTGTGAGTCTCAAAATGCAACGAAAATTCGTTTGCTGTTTCTATTTATAGTTTTTTTTAATAAAAAAAAATCGGCTCCGGCGGTTTGGTATCTTGTTGCAAATTTTTTTTTCTGAGAAATGCGTGAGCGAATGTTGGATTTTTTTTTTTTTTCTTTTAGCCAATAGGATTTCTCGGAACATTTAAATTAGGAATGAATTTGAGAAAGATTTTTTTTTTATGTTAGTTGAGCCTATTTTTGCACAAATTTTTGACTGTTTTGTTATGGAAATTTTTCGAAGCTTATTTTTATTTAACAACCAATGAAATTCAAGAAAAGGTTTGAAAATTGAAAAGAGGGTTACTAAAAATTTACCTTATAAAAGGATCAATTGTTCCTCAACGTAGACGGTTACTGAATGATGTATGTGATATGAGGGTAAGAAGAGATTGTATGTACATAACATTATGAGGATAAGGAGGATAGATAAAAATCGACTTTGACACGAGAAGAAGTTAAGATTATAGCGTTCAGGGAACTATCCACACTGGTGTCTGTTCCACATTGTGACAATACAGGCAAAAAGTGGTGTGCGTAGAACATTCTTCTTATATCTGCAATACGAGGTAAATGAGGTTGATTAGACTCTGTGGAAGTGGAATAGCGTGTCCTTGTTGTAAAGGTCTAAACTTGTGAGACTAAAGATCGGAACTCAACTCATCTTTTTTTCAAAAAATCAATTCACCCCAACCAAGGCGATAATGTCACTAAAACGCAAGAGTGAAAAAGAATGAAAAAGACTTTAAAAGAAATCGGAGACCGAATTCTAAACTGGAAACAAGAGCGATAGACTACAGACATGTTTTCAACGTTTTGTATGTGGGGAAGAGGTCGTAAGCTGGAAAATACCCACCACCACCACCACCACCACCACAATTATCACAAGTCTCTGTCAAGGCCGAGAAAGGAGAAATGAGTAACTCCAAATTATACATAGCAGCCATATTCCATTTTGGGTTTGATATGACTCTTGTAAATATAAAGCATGCCATACGGGGTCACATCTTTGAAAACTAACGCGTCGCTTGTTTGATAAATAAGTAAATAAATAAACAAATAAATAAATAAAGTCAACAGTCTTAGAAAATTGTACTGAAAATAAAAAAAATAGCAAAATGTGTTAAGGGAAGTAACTCTTCAAAAGAGTTATTCCCCTTGAAACGAGTTGAAAAGAAAAACATTTTAATAAATCTGAATAAATCATTGCTATTTCAACGCAAAAGATTAAACCCATTCTGATATTTCTTTTGTTTTCTTTTAATTATTTAACTCCAAGCAAAGGGATAAACCCCCAAGATATAAGGAACATGTCTACGAAAAAATCATTATTAAGGAGAGAGGAAAATAAGAGAAAGAAAAAGACACTTGACATTGAATATATATATATTTATAACAGTCAGAATAATGTAAATAATGCAAGTAATAAATACCTCATCTCAGAGATATAGAGGCCGAAACGTTGTGAATATGGCAATGAAGATGAATCAGTTCGAATAATGTAAATAATGCGTGATCTCATCATCTCAGAGATATAGAGGCCGAGACGTTGTGAATATGGCAATGAAAATGAGGATAACAGTCAGAATAATGTAAATAATACAATCATAGCTATCTTTTAGAGGCCGAGATGAATTTAATGAAAAGATAACAAAAAATAATGAAACTAATGGGTTTTAATGACAAAAAATTCGTCTTTTTTTTTCTCAAGAATTGACAATAAAGAAATACACACTTTTTATTTTCGTAAATTATTTATTTACAACTACAACTTTGTTTTTACACGTTCATAAAAGTATGTGTACCAACTACAATGCAATAGTTATTATATACCACACTATAAAGAAATAAATTGAAATAATTATATATATATATATATATATATATATATATATATATATATATATAAATTTATGAAAATATATATAAAGATAAGAGCAAGAAAATTTAAATAAACACATCACAGCTAGTAATTGTAATTATAATTCTGGTAAAAATCCAGGCATTTCTTTCATTTGCTTTTGCCACATCTTGTCTGTGCTGGGTCCTTTCAGGATGTTGGCTATCACGGCTCTCCACAATTTCCTGTTCATTTTTAGCTCTTAATAACTTTAGTCTTTTAGCCCTCCCTCCCATACCCTGTTCCTCCGCCCATTCACTCAAGCTAACCAGGAAGATTATACATTGTTTTCCTCTGATTGTCGTACCTTCAATCTGTCCTGTGAGTATCAAATTTTCCAAGCCCTCTTTCCTTGTTATATATGCCAGAAACGCCAACTGTCTCTTCCTGGTGTTAATTATTTTTTTCTTTTTGTCTCTAGAACTTTGTCTTTGTACGGTATTCTCAGCATCCTTCTGTAGAATCACATTTCTGTTGCTTCAAGTCTCTTCTTCATCTGTGAAGAGATTTCCCAATATTCCCTGTCATATAGGAGGACTGATACTATATAACAGTTCAATACTCCTCTCTTTGTTTCTAAGGATATTTTCCTGTTTCTTAGTACTTTGTTGAGCTTTTGGAAGGCATCTTTCGCTATCCCAATGCCCCTTCGGATTTTTGTGTCACATTTTCCATTCTCTGTTAATACGCTTCTCAGATATCTAAATTATTGCAGATGTTTGATTTCTTTATCCCCAATTTGTAATTTGCCTGTTGGGCTGTCCCTTTTGCTAACAACCATACATTCTGTCTTCTTGCTTATATTAAGCTGAAGTCTCATTTCTGTGGCCATTGTTTCTAGAACTTGCATGTTGGTCACATGGACGGTCAATGGTATTCTCATCATCATATTTCTGTTGCTTTAATTCTCTTATTCATCTGTAAGGGGACCGTCCAGCATTCACTGCTATATAGGAAAACTGATATTACATAATAGTTTATTATTTTTTTTCTTTGTTTCTAGCAATACTTTTTCTGTTTTTTTAATATTTTACTTAGCTTTAGTAAGGCATCTTTCTCTATTCCAATGCGACTGCAGATTTCTTTGTTGCAATTAATCCACTTCCCTGGTATCGAACTTCCTGCAGCGGTTTGATGTCGGTATATCCCATCTGTAATTTCCATGCTTAGCTGTTTCTTTTGCTAACAACCATGCATTCCGTCCTCTTGCAATTGATGTTTAGTCCTTTCTTCTCCCCTTCCTTCAATATTTTCTGTTGTCCCCTTTCTGCGTCTGCTATCAACACTGTGCCGTCTGCATATCCTATGTTGTTAAGATTGTAGCCGCCAGCAATGTTTCACGCTAGGACTTCTAATTGTGTCAGAATGGCCCCGCTGTACAGATTGAAAACTGGTGAGAAAACGTATGCTTGTCTTATACCCGTTTTTTATTTTTATTTTTGTATATTTACTTGACAGCTGTCAATATACCACATAACACCATTGAGCGCTTAGCCTTGGAGCGGGTAGAATGGAGATCAACGTGTTTTAGTGGACTCAGCAGTTTTCAATCAGCTTGTCTGAATCGTCTTCAAGAAACGAGAGCAAGATCTAAAAGGTCAGCCAATCTAAAAGTGATCTCATCTCACAATCCTCGCTCTTGCTCCATATGTGGCCTCCTTTGTAAATCACTAGCGGGTCTTAAGTGCCACTTCAGATTATCGCACAAACTTTCATAACTGAATCAATTAAGTTTTCAGATCCTCATACGTCGAAACCGACGGGAGAGTCCATTATTATTATTATTATTATTATTTACTGAATTAATTTTCTATCCGTATGCAGACGGTTTGCTGTCAGTACAGGTTCTGGATTATTATAATATCTTTCCCAAATGCGTCACGGTTATTATGTAACGCCAACAGTTTTTATGCTTTTGTATAATCTCTATAACACAGGTACATATCCTCCTGTATTTTTATTACTGATATCATTCTGACTATAAATATAGAATTCCTTGTTCCAGTGTCTTTGATGAACCCGCACTGCTTTTGTCCTATTTCTGATCGGATTCTGAAGCGCAATCTATTCATCAAGATTCGTATGATAAGGTTTGTTATATGGCTCATTAGGCTGATTGTCCGATGGAGTTCACACCTGGCTTCTTAAGCAGTGCTATGGACCTATTTAGGTCTTCCGGTATTTCGCCACTGTTGTATATTTCTTTTTTATTGTCTGTTATATGGTCAATACCGAAACCGTATAGCATCTCAATTACGATTCCGTCTGATCATGCTGATTTGTTTCTGTTCAATTTGGTCATTGTAGATTCCAATCCAGATTTCAATATTTCTAGTCCTTTGCTATTTCTGTTTATAACCGGTTCTTCTCTTTCGTCATGGAAGAGTTCTCCAATGTATTTTTCCATCTCTGAAGTATTTCTTAACATCTGCATCCCGTCCTTGGATTTTTTTTTTTTTTTTTTTTTTTTTGCATCCAGCTGGTGAACATGTCTTTTGTCCTGTTAGTTCTCTGACTTTTTATGTATACCTGATTTACCGATGATACTCATTCTTTCTATTTCGGCATATTTGTGTTAGGCAATTGCACTTTTAACCTGCCTACATTTGTTCCTGATTTCTTTTTGCGGAGCTCTATATTCTGTGCCATAGCTTGGCCCTGTTTTCTGCCTCCTTTTCATCATGTCAAGAATTTCATGTATCATTCTTTTTTTTTTTTTCTTTGTCTATTTTTATCTTGATGGCTGATTGTTGTGGCCTTGTTAGGGCCAGAAATAAAGACACAAAGAGAGGAATTGAGTTAAACAACAGAAACATTAATACAAACATATAAAAACGAGAGTGTTACAACAAGAATGTTCAGTCCGACCGTCAGAGCTGACTGCTGGAAACTTCACCATCCAAAAGGCAGTACCTGCTCCTATTTATAACCGGGAGAATCCATGCGTGCGTGGGTAAATTACCATAACGCTGATGTTACAAAATCTTCTCTTAATGTGTCCCATTTCGGTTTTCTATTCGTATTTTGTCCATTGTGTTTTTAACACTGTCTATATATTTCCCCTTGACATTCGGGTCATCAGAAGTTCGTCGTATTTCCCTAGTTTCAGTCTACGTTTACATATCACTGGAAAGTGCTCGCTCCCACAGTCAGCACTTGGGTATTTCTGAATTGATAGTTAGATTGTGTTAGGTACCTATTCTATTGTAATGGACTCTCTCATAGAGAATAAGTAGGAGTAGCAGTGGCAAGTCTGGCAGAATGGTGTTGAGCGCGTCAGTCGAGATTCGGACATTTGAAGTACCAACCATCACAACTAGATTGCTGCGCCATTGACTCTTATTTTCTAAGTTCCTAACGTTTTGTACGTCGGACCTAATTTAAGACGACTTATTAGAAATACAAGCCTCCACTGTGAAAATACTCCACAACAGATAGTCAATTTGGTTTTTCTTCTCTCCTCCGGGGCTTCTAATTGTGACTTAGGCGTTCTTGAAATTTGGGATGATCTTGATGGCTGATGGTAATAAAGTTTTTTTCTTAATGAGTTTCTCTTCAAGTTTTCTCTTCTCACTTTTCCTTTGTGTCTGTTTTTAACACTGCCCATATATTTTCCTTGACATTCGGGTCAATTAGAAGTCTCTCATATTGCAGTTTGAGTTGTAACATTTCTCTCTTCTATTTCCCTAGTTTCACTTACGTTTACATATCACTGGAAAGCGCTCGCTCCCACAGTCATCACTTTGCAGTGCACGACGGCATTTCTGAATCTTTTATTGATAGTTAGTCAATTTGGGTTTTTTTGTTTGTTTGTTTTTTGTTTGTTTTTTGGGGTGTTTTGTTGTTTTTTTTGTTGTTTGTTTTTTTTTTGTTGTTGTTTTTTTGCTTTTTGTCTCTCCTCCTTGCCTTCTATATGCCTCTTGGGCGTCTCTTAAAACCGTTGGCTACTACCCGATCATTCGCCGTACCCCGTCCATCTTTCTCCGCGTTCATTACGGGATACTAGTCCGAATTTGCCAACTATTTCTTCATCCTTGCCTACTTTGACATTCAGCTATCCTATGACGATGGTAATTCCTTGCGATTTACATTCAGCCTTGGCGCTATCTAGCGAACAGTAAAACTTTTCAGTTTCTTCTGAATTTTGTGCTGTCAGTGTATAAACTACAATGATGGATCTGTTGAAAGGCTTTCCTTTCAGTTTAACAAGGATCCTTCCAGATAGTTAACAGTATCCAATAACAGAATTCTTCATGTCTTGATCTAGTATCAGTCCCACTCTTCTTTCATTTTACTCTATGGCTCCATATATGATCCTCTACTTGCTCACCTCATTTCGCATACACCTAAAATATTAACATTTAAACTGTTCATTTCTTGCTTTATATTTTCTAATTGGTTGCATTGATTTAGTTTTCTAATATCCCATGTCCCGAGAGTTTGTGTGTGTGTTTACATAAATTCACTAAAATAGGTTACAAGCATCTGTTTTGATTTTAACATATTCTTCTCGAGAATGACGAGTTAAATACTACTTATTAGACCACTTATTTACAAAAATAGTGTTTAATATTTTTGTTGTCAAATCTCAAGAAATAATGCAGTTTACATATGTTTAGCTTTTATCAAAATTTTAATCGAGACAGTGGATAAAGACGTTGGTTATATCCTTTGACTAGACCCAAAGAGTTGTAAGTTCAATACCAGGCCAAAGCAGTGGTGAACCCCAAAAAAATTGGAGAGTTGAGTTAAAGGGAAATAACCGAGACATCCGGAAGAGGCACGGCACGTGGAATGAGAACAATCTACTCCAGTGGGCGAAATAAAAGTTTCGGTTAGAAATTCAGATCACCAGAAGATGGCCGGAGCGTACAACTGCCGAAACGTTGTGAATATGGCAGTGAAGATGAGAACAACAGTCCGAATAACGTACATAATATAATGCAAGTAATCGTAATACATCATCTCAGAGATATAGACAGATAAAGGACCAGAAATCTGCAACGACCAAATTGAACAGACACAAAGCAGCAGGGCCAGACGGAATCGTAATAGAGATGCTATCAAAAATCAAATCTCGAAAAATAGGCGAATGCATAAAGCTCTTCACATATATCTGGGTTTTATTAAAATTCTAAAAAATAGCTTTGTAAAATAATCTAAATTACCGAGGTCCAATGAGATATACAGTAATAATGGTGTCAAGAGAAAAGTCGTCTTTTGCACACACCGGTTTTTAGGGGTGGTTGCGAGTTTGTATTTCAAATTTTGCCGACTAAATTTTTCTAAGAACTTCAAAGATTATGAAGATGTGGAGAGTCATAATCGCCCATGTCTTGAACTGATACTGTACATAAAGGAAGAAACCTTCATTGCCGGTTTATTGCATTACATCTATCTGGTATGCCTGGAGATCTTGAACGCTCTATAAGCACCTCCAACACCAGGTATTGCAGAATTAATTAAAAGACTAAAGAATCGTTCATTCCGGTCGTCTGTCTTATATTGGATAGCGGGCTTTTCAGTCACCTTCGAAGGCGATTGTCTTTTGGGAAATCATTTGTCATTGTTAACTGCCAGCTTTTATTGCTCTGTTCCGCCGTAAATCGCTTCTCTTTACGCTGTTTTATTGCACGGAATCTGTGAGGCGAGTAAAAAGGAAGGAGAAAGAGAATAGGGCAGAAAGAAAGAAAGAAAGAAAGAAAGAAAGAAAGAAAGACTGAGAGTAAAGGGAAAGGGACAGATAATGAGAGAAAGAGGAAGAGCAAGGAATGGAGAATAAGTGGCAGGTGGAGAGTAAGAGAAAAGAGACGGCGAACGAGACAAAAACAGAGAAAAGAGGGGAAGAATAAGGAATGAAGAATGGAAGACAGGCGTAGAGTAAGGGAAAAGAGACGACGAATGAAAGAAAGGTGGGGAAAAGGAAAGAAGAATGAGAGAAAGAGGGTGAGAAAGGAAATGAGAATGAGGGACAGGTGGAGAGTAAGGGAAAACGAACGGAGAATGAGAGAAATACGTGGAATAAGGGAAAAGGGAGGAGGAATGAGAGAAAGAGGGAGGGTGAGGAACGGAGAATTAGAAAAAGGTGGAGAGTAAGAGAAACGAGGCGGAAAATGCGAGAAAGAAGGAGAGTAAGGGGAATGGGATGCAGAATGATAGGAAGAAGAAGAGCATGGAAAAAGGGGTGGATGCTCAAAGAAAGAGCGTAAGAAATGGAAAAGAGACGGAGAATTGGAAAAACAGATAGAGAGAGAGAGAGTAAGGGTAAACGGGTGGAAGATAAGAGAAGGAAAGGGAGTAATGGAAAAGAGACGGAGAATTCGATATAGAGGGAGAGTAAGGATAAACGGGTGGATGATAAGAGAAGGAAGAGCAATAATGGAAAAGAGACGGAGATTTCGTTAAGAAGGGAGAGTAAGGTGTAAATGATCAGAAAAAGAGAGGGAGTAATTGAAGCGAGATGGAGACTGCGAGAAAGGGGGAGAGTATAGGAATCGGGATGAAGAATGAGAGAGAGAGAGAGAGAGAGAGAGATAGGAAGAAGGAGTGGATGATCTGAGAAAGAGACTAAGTAATGGACTTCGAGAGTGAGGGAAAAGAGAGGAAGAAAGAGAGAGAGAGAGTTAGGAAAAAGGAGTGGATGATCTGAGAAAGAGACTAAGTAATGGACTTCGAGAGTAAGGGAAAAGAGAGGAAGAATGAGAGAAAGAGCAAGAGTTAGGGAAAAGGGATGTGGAACGAGAAAACGTAGGATGGGGCGGGGTAATTGGTAGTTTACATGAAACCGGTAGGGCTTTGATTAAAAACAGAAGATAACAAACAATAAACTTCTCTTGACAACGGGTCGATTTATTTTCGTTTCGGCTTAAGACGTTTTCGTCTTATCTTCAAATCACGCAGGGAAGAAGTCAGTATTCGTAAAAGTAGGAATTTTATTATCGCTTTTATATATACAATTCTTGTGCGACAGCATGATTATTTTCTATCACTGGGGTGTATCAATGTCTGCGCCAGCCTGGGACATTATGAATTGTTAGAATTGTTTCTCATAAAATCGGACAACATGAAAACAAAATTAAAAATTGAAAAAAAAAACATCGTTTCTTTCCTGCGACAACGACAAATTCTACATTTTTCTTCGTACGTATGAGATAAAGTTTGCCGCCATTTTCCTAGTGAGGCAGCCATATCTGATTCGGATAAGTCGCCATTTTCTTAAACAAAAAGATTGGCTGTTACAAAGCGTAAACAAGTCTAAACCTCAGAATAAAAAACAACAGTTTGACGGCGTGGGATTAGCCCATCTTTTCTGTCAGAAATAAGAGAGTGGAGAATAAACGAGATATGTCTCCCCTTAAAGCATGCTGGATGGCGTTGTATAAATCAAGAACAAAAACCTTCTTTCTTTTTCTTTCTCTCTTCAGTCACGTATTATGCAGGGGGGGATTAAGTTAATCGAAAGGGAAATGAGACACGTCTTCTCTTTACGGTATTCTGTGGGTAAATAAAGAGAGTTCTGTTCTTTCTTTTTTCATTTTTTTTTTGCGAGATTCGTCTCTTTGGTTGTAAGGTGAGTCGTTTCCCAGTAAAAATTTAAAGGCTCCAGAAATATTCGTCCATCAAACAAAATTTGGCGAACTTATATGAGGCCGGGTAAAAAATAAGTAATATAAAACATGGAATTTAAAACAATTTTTATTTTAATGCTTCCAAAAGAAAACTCCTCTCTTTTAATCATCTGAGAGAAACCCTTTTTACCTTCCATCAGCATGGCTGATGCTAACCCCCAGAAGAATGATTCATTGCACCTTCTCTGGCTTACGTTTTAAGCTGGTATGAAATGGAAAGAATATATTGAATCAATTGCTAAGTCTGCGGCTAAAAAAAGTTTCTCCACTATGCCACTGTAGACAATTTTTCGCGCCAGAATCTATCTTACATATTTATAAGTCTATCATTCAACCTTACATAGAATATTGCCACCACATCTGATCTGGTGCTCCTGATATATATTTAGAGTTTCTTGATAAAATCCAAAGATCCAGAAATGTTATTTGTCCTGACCAGGTATGTCGGCTTCAGGCACTTTCCCAAAGTTGATTCCCTGTTCCTTTTCTACTAATATTTTTATGGTAATTGTTCTGATGAACTTTCCACTATGGTATCTAGATTTATGAATTTAAACACAGTACTAGATTGGCGGTGAGGTCTCATCATTTTACAGCTGAAATAGTTAGATGAAACCGTAAGTTCTATGGTAACAGTTTCTTCTCTCGCACTTCTCGCTTGTGGAACTCTTTGTCGGTTTCTTGCTTCCTAGTCAACATTCATCTTCAAAAAAATGAAATGCAATGTCAATCGTTAATTTCTATCTTTTTTTTTATTGTACTTTTATTATCGTCTTTCCTTCATAGTAGTTTTTTTTCTTCATATTCTCTAACACTCAGTAGCATTCTTGCGTCTTAGTGGCTTTATTGCCTTGCTTGGGTGAACCAAATAATTTAATAATTATTAAAAAAATATTAAAAAAACGACAATAATGCACGTTATTAACAAAAGGAATTACATGTATACCCAATGTAAATCAAAGGAAAAATCATTAACACTAGCAATAAGAAGAATGAGTGTGAGTGTGTGTGTGTGTGTGTGTGTGTGTGTGTGTGTGTGTGTGTGTGTGTGTGTGGAAACAAGCGTGTGTGACAGACATGTGTACGTATGAGCGTGTGGGAAAGTTCAATGGTCAAATCGACCGGGCGGGGAAACGAAAAGGCCTCGAGGAGTATTCTCATCTACGAGTTTGTTTTTATTATTATTATTATTATTATTATTATTTGATCCCAAACAATGCGGGAATGCCACTAGTACGTGGGGGGGGGTAGAGAGAGTGAACGTGAAAGAAAAGATTGGGTATAGTGAGAATTGAGAAGACAACAAAAGATGAACGGGATTCAAGAAGATAGAAGATAGACGTTGCCTTTAAATCTTTGAAGGTTTTAGTAAACAGGGAAGCAAGAAAACAGAAAGGAGTTCCACAAGCGGGAAGTGCGAGAAAAGAAACTTTTAAAGTAGAAGTGGTGGTTACATTGAGCTATTTCAACAGTAAAAGGGTGGGACCTAGATGCCAATCTAGTAGCACGCTTAAATTCATGTAGTCGGAGCCCCATGGAAAATGCTTGTCAGAGCAGTTGCCTTTAAAATATTTGTAGAAAAGACAGAGGGAAGCCACATCACGTCTGTGGGAAAATGACTGAAGTCAAAGATCGATTACATTCATCCTGGAGCAAGAAGATAGAAAACGGAAATGTTTGCCTTTTATAACCTTAGGTATTGTTGCCTAACAGTGAAGGGATAATCCACGCTTTTATACTGTACTAGCAGTAGAGCCCGGCGTTGCCCGGGGATGTAACAGTAAGAGATAGATCAAGTATCGACCATCATAAAGACTGAAAAATAAAATTGACAAAGATTATTGTTTTAAGTTGACGGACACGCATGTCTTAATTAGTTTTTTTTTTGTTTTTACGAATTGGTCAAACCCAAAATCAAACAAAAACATTGTTTTCAATCGTTATGAGTCTACCGATTGAATAGAATTTTATTATAAACAATTGTCTTGTAAATGGAATTTTTAAAGCATTCTGAATGTAAAAATAAAGAAAAAACTGTGCAAGACAATAAGAAACACTATCTGCCAAAAAAAAAGTGAAGTTTTGTTGAAATCGGTTGAAAAATGTAAGAAATCCGATCCCATATATAAACGAACACACACACACATACACAAACAACCTGGGTTTTATAATAAGTATAACTCGATATGAGTTGTCCTCCTTTCATTCTCGTGATGCCTCTTGATTGTGTTTTCAAATTGATTTCGTGCAAAAACAATTGTGTTTTTTCCAATTTTTGGCGCTGTCAGAACCACCGCAAGGTAATTTTACGCAGTCCTGTGAAGTTTTGTTGAAATCAGTTGAAAAATGTAGGAAATCCGATCCAATATATAAACGAACACACACACACACAATCTGCGTTTTATAATAAGTAAGATTACACTGCTGTATTGTCCTTCTCATTTACCAAACTATTATATAAGAATTTTTATTTACCCACCTCGTATTTGTGCGTATGTTTGAATACAGAGAAGGATAAATATCTTCCAAACCGGAATACAGGAGAAGGAAAAATGATCAAAGATTTTTGTTTTCGACTCTATAATCAATAGCTGGGATATATGGCGTGTTACGTCAGAGGTAGAAGCTTTGCAGCGAAGCGGTCGACTCTGCTTTACACAAGTGAATTGGGATGCGCAATTGTACTTGTCCACGGCCTATATCCAACACTCAAACATGGCTCCAAGAAATCGCATGGGCGCTCCGATGGCTACATCCTGGTCAACTGCATCGACCTGCCGGCCAAGCTGTGTGAGTGTAGTGTAAATAGTTTCCCGATCTGACCGGTGAAGGAGAACGCCTATCCCCTACCCACCTGTGGCAAGCGACCATCAGGCAGTCGTCATGTCTTGACCGGCTGTTCGGTTGAACTCTCTACCTTTGGGCGGGGAGGAACCCGAAGGAGGCTACAGCGAAGGGCGGTGTCTCTTTCGGGGAGGTAAACCGACCCTGAACCCGTTTATACGGGTTCAATGGGCATATTTTTGGCCGAGCCCACGGGCTCGGAGATCCCACGTTAAGCCGGCCTTGAGCCACATGATGCCAATGTGGGGGTGGGGGGCTATATATAGTCAGCCTGGTCGTAGGAGCTGCACCACAAAATTTCTGAGAGGAGAGACGAGGTACAAAAGGGACCGGCACGCCATCGCATTATTTTGGCTTCAAGGTCGCCATGAACCACAATTACAAATGGGGGGCGGGTGACACAGCGAAAAAGGGGCTAACTAAGTGTATAAATGATGATGAATGAAAAGTTGGCCCGTAGGAATTTCATAATTCTCGGATTCAGGTATATATATATATATATATATATATATATATATTAACTGATTTGAAATATGTTTTTTTTCGCTACACAGTTCTAACCATGTTTCAAAAATGGAATCTAAAAGCTTCGAATTTAATTTTGTAATTAAATTATAGACATTAGTTCCATTTCATCCTCAAGCGAGTTTTGGAGTAACTTATTTTAAAATTTACTGTTTTTTAAAGGCACGGCAAATATCATAATTTACCGTTTCCAAGGATACAGAAAAATCCATTAATCCAGACAAGGGGTGGTTGTGTGTTCATTTTATTAACTTTTGTTGTATCAGTTATTAGTTACATTTGAAAAAGGGGATATGTTTAGGTAGGGGTAGGGATGTATTTTTCAACGAATTCTGACATCCGTTAAATGCATGTCGTCTGGATTTTTTTTTTAATTTATTGTTAACGGCAAAAGTTCTTACGGCATTTTTTCTATTCTTATACGTAAAGATTTTTGAGGGATGTTTAGGTTAGAATACGTTTTATTTAAAATATTTTCACTTTTAATTTTTAATAGTATTAATATTATATTAATGCTCTGTAAATTTACATTGAGCACTGTTTTGTAAAAATAAAAATATCTATCAGAACACCGGATTATATATCTTACTGTTCTTTCTTTTTATTTATATATATATATATATATATATATATATATATATAGGCATATACTTAAATTTAAATAAATTGTATTCGCTATTGTCACGTGGGTTTTTCAGTTCATTTCTTCACTATATAAGACAATATTCCTAAACAGAATTATTTTTGATATGAAAATCAAAGCAATCCTTGAATAAAAGATGAAGAAGAGTTAATTAATGAAATATACTTTTATTTTAAAATCATTTTGCAAATTATTTAAACCTGAAGACTGATAGCACCTAGCAGTAGATAATAGATAATACATATATAATGGTTTTGAGCTTTTAGCATTGTTGCTAGGCGTTATGAGAGTCGTGATTTGGACGACACGTCAGAAGGGATTCTATGGAGGCGAGAAGTTCACCACTTCCCAACTGATCTTGTACTTTCAGCATCAGCTTAAAGTCAAGATTAGGACGGAAAGGCGGCGGCCCACGTCATCAGAATTCAGCAAAAGGTGGGTGAATCTTGCCCGCTTGTGTCGTGTGAAAGGGGCTGACCTTGAGTGGCACTTTGATGCCGGTTAGGCATCAGGATATTGCTCTTCCTGGGTTGAGCTTGCGCTACCCATCCTGAAACTAGGCTAGGTTTAGGTTTAATTTGATGCTTTAGTTTTCTTTTTCAGTTAACTTAGCTACGGTATGTATGCTCATTGGCCCCCTTTTATTTCTGTCCCTATTTTTCTTTATGTTTAATTCCCCATCCCCTCCCTCGTTAGGTGGTCAGTGATGTCAGTTCGCAGGTGGATGCGGGGCGCCTTTCGTTTTCGTGTGAGTGTTTTTCGTATTTGTTGTTGTGTCTGAATGAGTGCATGTCAGTGTGAGTGATTGGGATGAATGAATGGTTTATACTATTATAGTCCCGCATTGATTTCGGCCAGTGAAGTGATGTTTCTGTCACATTTAGGAAACTGTGGGGGGTTTTATTACTAATCTTATTTTCTTTAGTTTCTTGTAAATAGTTTTTGTATGCATATTGTAAATACTCATTGGGGTTAATTTTTAGATTTATTGTTTTATTCCCCTCCCACCACAGACCACGAATTGTAAATATGGGGACTAGTTAGTATTTTTCATAGAGACAAAGAGGTATTATGGTGGTTGTAGTAAGAAAGGTACGAATGAATGTGTTGTTTTGGTGTAAGGGATATTGTTTCGTACGTTTGGGTCAGTGCTTGCGGCTAGCTAAGTTATAGTTAAGACAGAAGAAGACCGTCCTTTCCCCAATCCCCTTTTCGGCCTTGTGCCACATTTCTGTATTATAAACAGAATAAATATCGCTTTTAGCATTGTTGCTAGGCGTTATGAGAGTCGTGATTTGGACGACACGTCAGAAGGGATTCTATGGAGGCGAGAAGTTCACCACTTCCCAACTGATCTTGTACTTTAAGCATCAGCTTAAAATCAAGATTAGGACGGAAAGGCGGCGGCCCACGTCATCAGAATTCAGCAAAAGGTGGGTGAATCTTGCCCGCTTGTGTCGTGTGAAAGGGGCTGACCTTGAGTGGCACTTTGATGCCGGTTAGGCATCAGGATATTGCTCTTCCTGGGTTGAGCTTGCGCTACCCATCCTGAAACTAGGCTAGGTTTAGGTTTAATTTGATGCTTTAGTTTTCTTTTTCAGTTAACTTAGCTACGGTATGTATGCTCATTGGCCCCCTTTTATTTCTGTCCCTATTTTTCTTTATGTTTAATTCCCCATCCCCTCCCTCGTTAGGTGGTCAGTGATGTCAGTTCGCTGGTGGATGCGGGGCGCCTTTCGTTTCGCGTGAGTGTTTTTTCGTATTTGCCGTTGTGTCTGAATGAGTGCATGTCAGTGTGAGTGCTTAAGATGAATGAATGTCTTATACTATTATAGTCCCGCATTGATTTCAGCCAGTGAAGTGATGTTTCTGCCACATTTATTCATTGTGGGGGGTTTTATTACTAATCTTATTTTCTTTAGTTTCTTGTAAATAGTTTTTGAATTCATATTGTAAATACTCATTGGGGCTAGTTTTTAGAATTGTTGCTTTATTCCCCACCCACCACACAGACAATGAATTGTACATTTGGGGACTAGTTAGTATTTTCATAGAGACAAAGAGGTATTATAGTGAATGTAGTAAGAAAGGTACGTATAAATGTGTTGTTTTGGTGTAAGGAATATTGTTTATACGATTGAGTCAGTGTATGTGGCTAGCTAAGTTATATTTAAGACAGAAGAAGACTATTCTTTCCCTAATCCTCCCTACGGCCTTGTGCCACATTTCTGTGTATTTAACAGAATAAATATCTCTTTTAGAATATACATTACTAAAGTAATGTTGGGGCTTTTTTAAACACCAGAATTCATTGTATAATAGTGCTTCAATTGCGCATTTAGTCATATAGATTTCATTATATAGGTTTTGCTTAGATACCTTCATGAGATTGCTAAAAAAAGAGCATAGCATGATGAAAAAGACGCCAAACTTGATGAAAACAAAATTTTATCGTCTAAATGTTTATGTTCTTATGAAGAGTAAAAGACCATATTTTTTTAAAATTTTTCTTTATTTTTAGAACATTCTAAATTTTGATAAGAAAAAAACTTTGTTTCTCTTTGTATCACCCGAACTAGTAAAATAACATAGACAATTTTTCGCACATTTTTTTTTTTTTTTGCATGACACACATTAATTTAGAAAATCTTGTAAAAATAAAAATAATTGTAAGATGTTAATGAAACTTCCAGAAACTATTCATAGATGATGGAAATTATTATAAATATGATTTTTTTTATTAAAGTCATAGCAGAAATATATTTTTATATTTATTAACATAACTAATTTTATGAAAACTCTAGAAATTCAATCTAATCCAGTTTAGTGATTACAAGTTAAAAGCACAAGGCTTTGAGGAATGCAATTCATTTTTTTTTTTTAATTGGACCCCCCCACCTGAAAGTCAGCTCTGAATTGTAACATACAAAACTCAATAAAACAAAGATATTATTTAATTTCAAATACTTTTATTTGATTTTAGTTGTTTTTATGAATATGGACAATATTTTCTGAAAGCAAAAAATTTTTCGATGAAAAATGAATTTTTAATAGTTATTTGTTATTTCTTTAATTATAATAGATTTTTACATTTAAGTTGTTAAAATATTATGAAATTAGTTAAAAGCCGCATCCAATTTCGTAAGTGTCCTTATGAGATAGATCTTTTTTAGCGTGTTGTAAATTGTATCATTTTGACTAATCAGAAGATCCGCGGTAATTAAGAAATGTAATTTTGTGTTTATAATCGGGCTGTATACAATTAAGTTACGTTATTTGAGTTAAGCATTGTTCTCCGCTGTTAAGGCCTTTACTTTTGCGAAACACGTGTGGAGAAGTTAATTTGATTTTTCAATTTCAACTGAGAAGGGTACCTACAAGTATCAGTATCATCTTATGAAATTTATATGATCTTATTTTAATATTAATCTCAGTTATGGCATTTTTCCATAAATGAAATATCAAAATTAATAATAAAATGAATGGAAATGCAAATAACACAGTAGAATATCATAAATGTACATAAAATTATAGTATCTTATGTACACTTCTGATAAAATTTCATAAGAAAGGTACCTATCAATTATTTAGATACCTTTCTTATGAAATTTAATCTCACTCTTAACAGTCTTATTTTAATTTCTTTATAATATATTTTCCATAAAGCATTGTAAACGTAAAGATGAAAGCTAAGTACAAAAAAAAATTTAGAGCGCTGAAAGTTTTCCTTAAAAATAACGAGGTAAATAATTTGTTCACTTAAATCTAAATAACTTCACCTTTCTCCATCCGTAGAAAAAATTATCCTCACGTAATCCGTCAATACGTCATTCATCACCTGTCAAGTGACGCGAAAGATTATGAACTGCTTTGTTCTATTTTTCAAACTATATCTTTTCGGCGCAGTTAAGCTTGGTTCAAAATATTTTAAATAAACATTATAATTTCTGATTTTCTTAAAATAAGTTTTGAACAAATGATAATTGATTTTTAAAAGAATGTCAAACTGAGATTTTCATTTTTTTATAAAATGGAAAAAAATGGTTGCCATGATTGATTATCTGTCAATTTTGCTGATTCAAAAAAAAAAAAAAGATTTTTAACGAAAATTTCGGACGTGCTATGAACGATCAATAAAATGTAAATACACCAAAAATACTTTGATATTTTCTCTTAATAACATAAATATTTAGACGATAAAATTTTGTTTTCGTCAAGTTTGGCGTCTTTTTCATCATGCTATACTCTTTTTTTTAGCGATCTCATGGAGGTACCTAGTTTTACCTAATTAGCTATTATGTTTCTCTAACTGTTCAAATGTTGAATGTATAACTAATTCTAATTTCTGTTTTCCCATCTTTACAGTATATTAATTTCATCTTATAAATTCTCCCCCTGCCCTGTCACCCATGAAATAAAAATAATGGTTTGTACGGAAAATAAGGATCTATGTACATCAAATCGTCTTTAAATTAAGTGTCAACAGAAGGATTATCGTTGAACTTTTAAAAAGGTAAGCTTAAATATTAATTCAATACTTAAATGCAGCGATCATGAGTTCTTGAGGACTTCTGTGTTTGAATTGCAATATGAGCACTGGTAAAAAATGGTGGCTGAAGACATTAGGTTTATAAAACCCAGAAATTCATACACAGATATCCTCACAGTGGATAAAGGCGTTGGTTAGATCCAGTGACAGGACCCAAAGAGATGTGAGTTCAATACCTGGTTAAAGCGGTGGAGATCTCGGAGAGGGGAATTAACAGATAACTGATAACTGACATCCATTAGAGATGGCGCGTGGAACGAGAACAGTCTACCCCAGCGAAATAAAGGGTTCAGTTCGACATTCCAAGCACCTGAAGAAGTCCGGAGCGTACAACGGCTGAAACTTTATGATAAATATGGCAACAAAGATGTCAAATGACAGTCTGAGCAACGTAAATAGAAGACCTGATTTAATTTCATTAAAACATTGTTCCAGTAACGATCTTTTCATTTGGGACAACAATGGCAAAAAATATACCAAAGTGTCTTGACTCCTTTTTTTAATCATCTTTTGTTGATTCAAAAAGAGCTTAGAGTCTTTGGTATATTTTCTACCTAATTTTTGACTCCCGGGCAAACTAGACACTTGTTTGCGTCTTTAGTCTCACTAGCAAACCATTTCTACTTCATTAATTGAGTGATTCGTTTTTTACGGTTAATCAACCCATTCCAGGTTATTTAAAGTCAGAAAATACTTTTAGATTGTAAGAATTTTTTTTTTTTTTTGCTGGGGTGGGGCATTATAGTAGTTTTAGTGATACACCTCTTAGTAATTAACCCTATACCCGGGGGTGGATAAGGAATGGATTCATACTTTCCTAAAGATATTTGCGCGTAAGTGAATATAACAAACCCGACTTGAATTGGAACTCGACCCTCCAATTAACAATTCCAGCCACTATCTATTACACCACCCGCACATTCAAGCTTACAGCATCTGGTACACCCAAACGGCCACCCATTAGGTACTGACCAGTCGTGACGTGGTTTACTTTCAATGATCCCACGAGAACTGGTGCTTCAACGAGATGTGACCGTAAGCCTTTTTAGCTTTAATGTCTAGATTTTTAATCTCGTGCCAATTGGATCCATTTTTTTTTATTCATGCTAACCGGATTTTTATCTCGTGTTTTTATTCTAGTTTAAACCGGGTTTATACCTTGTTTTTTTTCTCTCTCGTGCAAACCGGGCCTATATGTAGATTTTATTGTGTTGAGTTTCTGTTGTGGAGTATTTTCACAGTGAAGGCTTGTATTTCTAATAAGTCGTCCTAAATTAGGTCCGACGTACAAAACGTTAGGAACTTGGAAAATAAGAGTCAATGGCTCAGCAAATCTAGTTGTGATGGTTGGTACTTCAAATGTCTGAATCTCGACTGACGCGCTCAACACCATTCAGTATTTATCGTTCCACCCACGAGGAACGAATATGGCACAAGGCCAGTTTTATTGTGGGTTTCTCCGAGCCCGTAGGCTCGGCCAAAAAAATAGCCTTTGAAGCCGATTAGACGGGTTCAGGCCCTGTCTACCTCCCCGGACGAAACCTTGCCCTTCGGCAAAGCCTCGTCCGGGTTCCTCTCTGCTAACGCAGAGAGTTCGACAGAAGGCGTGCGCAGTCAGAGACCGCTCAACACCATTCGGTATTTATCATTTCACCCACGGGAAACGAATATGGCACAAGGCTGGTTTTATCGTGGGTTTCTCCGAGCCCGTAGGCTCGGCCAAAAAAATAGCCTTTTGAAGCCGATTAGACGGGTTCAGGCCCTGTCTACCTCCCCGGACGAAACCTTGCCCTTTGGCAAAGCCTCGTCCGGGTTCCTCTCTGCTAACGCAGAGAGTTCGACAGGAGGCGTGCGCAGTCAGAGACCGCGAGACGCCATTCTCCATACTTGTCACTGCTACTCCTACTTATTATCTATGGGAGAGTCCATTACAATAGAATAGGTACTATGGCATAACAGTTTCATAACGGATTCTCCTCCAGCTCCTATCCCCCGGACGCACGTGTCCCCCAACGCTCCTCCATCCTAGGCCCTATTCTGTTCCTTACCCTTCATCAACGACGACATAGATTTCCAAGTAGGCATCTACGCGGACGGCACTACAATTTACTCCGGCCTCTGAAACAAATCTAGTGTCGCTGACAAAACTAACCTGGACGTTCGTCTCGAAAAGGACCTCCAATCGGTTGCGAACTGGGGCAGTAATTGGCTGGTTAACTTTAACGCCTCAAAAACAAAAGTGCTCTCTATTAATCACCACAGAGATCCTTCCCTGCCCTCCATTAGAATGTCTGACGCTCAACTTCTCGAGAGCTCCTCTTTGCGACTGCTCGGTCTCACATTGACTGCTAACCTGAGATGGAATTTCTTCCCGCCAGAGTCAATCCTTCAAATCTACAAATCAACCATTCTCCCTTGCATGGAGTATTGCTGCCATATATGGTCCGGTCCCCCTTCTGTTTGTCTCAAGGTTCTTGATAAGATCCAGAGATGGATATGCAATGTAATTATCCCTGATCTGGCATCTCGTCTGCAGTCGCTCTCCCACAGACATGCCGTCGCCTCCCTCTGTCTTTTTTACAAATACTTTCATTATAACTGCTCCGATGAGCTGCTTTCGCTGGTTCCCAGACTTCACGAATTTAAGCGCTCAACTAGGCTGGCGCTCTCACCTTTTCACTGTCGAAACTGTCAAATGTAACCGTCTCTTCTACTCCAATAGCTTCATGTCTCACACCTCTCGCCTGTGGAACTCCCTGTCCATTTCTTGTTTCCCTGATAGCTGTAATCTCCAACTTTTTAAATGTAATGTCAATCGACGTCTCCAGATGCCCTAATCTATCCCCTAACCCTCTCTTCATCCTTTCCTCTATCATTCCTATTTGCTCTAGCTCCAACTCTCTGTAACCCCTTGCGTGCTAGTGGCTTCCCGCCTTGCTTGGGTTGAAACGCTTAAAAAAAATTGAACCTAGATCTACCTTTTGTCTCTCTTACAAACCGGATCTACATCGATATTTTTGACTGTTGATCGAATAGGTCCTCTGTCTTCCCATCTATTGGTGAAGATTTAAAATGCAATCGGAATCTTAGCATCATCTATCTATCTATCTATCTATCTATCTATCTATCTATCTCTCTCTCTCTCTCTCTCTCTATATATATATATATATATATATCAGTCTCTACCTTATCTATCTATCTATCTATCTATCTATCTATCTATCTCAGTCTCTACCTTATCTATCTATCTATCTATCTATCTATCTATCTATCTATCTATCTATCTATCTCAGTCTCTACCTTATCTATCTATCTATCTATCTATCTATCTATCTATCTTTTCGTTATTATCTCTTTCTAGCCTGTTGTGTTTGTCGTCGATTTAAAATACAATGTTAATCTTAGCATCAACTGTTCGTATCTATCTATCTCAATCTCTACCTTATCTATCTATCTATCTATCTATCTATCTATCTATATATATATATATATATATATATATATATATATATCTCAGTCTATACCTTATCTATCTATCTATCTCAGTCTCTACCTTATCTATCTATCTATCTATCTATCTATCTATCTCAATCTCTACCTTATCTATCTATCTATCTATCTATCTATCTCACTCTGTTCATATCTATCTATCTATCTATATATATATATATATATATATATATATATATATATATATATATATATATATATATCTGTGTGATTTTATGTATGCCCTTTTTGCTGTTATCTCTTTTTCTCTTCTGTTGTGTTTGCAGTTTGTTGTAGATTTAAAATGCAATCGTAATCTTAGCATCATCTGTCTGGCCCCAGTCAGCTATCGATTTACAAAAGCAATATAAAATAAACAAAGAAACCCGATCAATAATACAACTCTATTTCCAAATTAATGATTTTATGAGATTATTAACATTGAGATTTGGTTTAACGAGACCAACATTTGCAAACTCTTATAAATATTTATATTAACGAGAAAACCTCGACCAAACAATTCCTCGGTGCTGAAGTAAAGTCGGGAAATAGTTGTTGTTTGTTTTTTTGTTGCTTTTTTTAATCATTTTACTTTAAGTAAGGCAATAATGCCTCAAGAGGTTATTGGGAGGGAAAGAGAACGAGCAGATTTTAGTGAGGAGAAAGGACAATAAAAGAACAAGGTTAAAGAAGAGGCATGGTGATTGACGTCGCATTTAAATTATGTAGGTGGCAAGAATCTGAAAAAGATGCCCGGATGTGGTAAGTGCGAAGGAAGAAACTAGTAGAATAGAACTTACGGTTACATGTTGCTAATTCAACAATAAAGAGATTAGACCAAGTTGCTAATCTAATACCACGTTTAAATTCATACAGTTGAAGCACCAAAGAGGAAATATCATTAGAACGTTTATCATGAAAATATTTACAAAAAAGACTGTGACTGATATCGAGATGCCAGGTCACTACAAATAACATTGCAGACACTTCTTTATATTTTATCGAGAATATCGAAATCTATAGCAGTAGCAGCAGACCAGACTTATAAAAGTTAAGATGAATTCTGAAGTGAAAAAGTGTTTGGTACGCCACAGTGAACAAACTTTCCGAGCAGTAGACGTAGCAATTGATTCAATATAATCACTCAACTTATTGTCAGTGAAAAACGTGAGACCATAATACGCGCAATGAATTGCTATCGTGGGGGTTAGCATCAGCCATGTTAATGGATGGCAAAGAAGTGTTCTCTGTGATGATTAAAAGATTAAATGATTAAAAGATTAAATGATAAAAAAGATTAAGTGATTAAATGATTAAAATTTAAATGATTTAAAGATTAAATGATTAAAACATTAAATGATTAAAACATTAAATTGATTAAAAGATTATATGATTACAACTCTAAAAGATTAAATGCTTAAATGATTAAATGCTTAAATCATTAAGAGATTAAATGATTAAAAGATTAAATGATTAAAAATTTAAAGGATTAAATGATCAAAAGATTAAAAGTGATTAAATGATTAAAAGATTAAATGATCAAAAGATCAAATGATTAAAAGATAAAAGGATTAAATGATTAAAAAATTAAGTGATTAAAACTTTAAAGGATGAAATGATTAAAAGATTAAATGATCAAAAGATTAAAAGACTAAATCATTAAATGATTAAAAGATTAAATGATTAAAAGATTAAATGATCAAAAGATCAAATGATTAAAAGATAAAATGATTAAATGCTTAAAAGATAAAAGGATTAAATGATTAAAATATAGCAGTTTCGTTTTGGAGGCATAATGGCATTACTTGATATCAGGAATAATCATTGGTATTTTAAAAAGGATACCATTTTAAACCGGAAGTTTGTAGCGATGGGGATCAATATAAAAACAGTGTCTGTCTTGTTAAAATGGCTTAATTAGAGGAAAGAACAGGAATGCAAAGAGAATATGTTTGTTCTTTTTTTCTTTCTGCCTCTCTATCAGTCTATACTCTCTATCTGTCACTTTCCTTCTCTTTTCTCTGTGCCGTGACCCTTGAGGTCGTGGATTATCATTGCTTATCCACAACTTCTTCTCCTTTGTAACTCTCAGCAATATATGTCTTTTTTACTATACTTCCCAATCTTTGTTCTTCCATCCATTTACACTCGCTTGCTAGGGTCGATTACTCAATTATTCTCACCTTCAGTATGTCCCGTGAGTGACAAGTTCTCCAAGCCCTTTTCCTAGAATTTTCAATATATTTTTACAAACATTTCCCCGCAAGCAAAGTGATAAAGCCACTAAGAGTAAGTTACTGAGTGAGAACGAATAAAATGAAAAACAAAAACATTATTAAGCAGCGATACCAATAAAAGAACAGGACATTATTTACATTATTCGGACTATTGTCCTCATCTTTGTTGCCATATTTATTACAACGTTTCGGCCTTTCAGTATCTGTCTATATTTCTGAGATGGGGTATTATGTACACTATTTACATTATTCGGACTATTGTCCTCATCTTTGTCGCCATATTTATTACAACGTTTCGGCCGTTCAGTATCTGTCTATATTTCTGAGATGAGGCATTATGTACACTATTTACATTATTCGGACTATTGTCCTCATCTTTGTCACCATATTTATTACAACGTTTCGGCCTTTCAGTATCTGTCTATATTTCTGAGATGAGGTATTATGTACACTATTTACATTATTCTATTGTCCTGATCTTTGTCCTCATCGTTTGTTCAGTATCTGTCTATATTTCTGAGATGAGGTATTATTACTATTTTACATTATTGACTATTGTCCTCATCTTTGTCATGTTTATTACAATGTTTCGGCCCTTCAGTATCTGTCTATATTTCTGAGATGAGGTATTATGTACACTATTTACATTATTCGGACTATTGTACTCATCTTTGTCGCCATATTTATTACAACGATTCGGCCGTTGTACGCTCCGGCCTTGTTTAGGTGGTTGGAATGTCGAACTTAACGTTGTAATAAATATGGCGACAAAGATGAGGACAATATTCCGAATAATGTAAATAATGTACATAATACCTCATCTCAGAAATATAGATAGATACAAAAGAACAAGAATTAAGACAAAGTTGACTGGGGAGCAAGAAAAGGAGTTTCACAAGTGAGAAGTGCGAGAGAAGAAACTGTTAGCACAGAATTTACGGTTACATCTAGCCATTTCAACTGTAAAATGATGAGACCTCACCGCCAATCTAGTACTGCGCTTAAATTCATTAATTTTAGGTACCATGAAGGAAAACAATATTTATTTTGAATAATACCAAAAATGTGGCACAAGGCCAGAAGGTGGGATTGACAAAGGATGATCTTCAGTCTGCCTTGTCTTAAACTTAGCTAGTTATGATTGCTGACCCAAATATACTTCAGTATTACTTACACCAAAACAACATATTCTTATTTACCATCCTTACTACAGTCACCATAATACCTCTAGTCTCTATGTAGGCCTAACTAGTTCCCATGTCACATATTATGAAATGGACAAAGTCAGATAATTATTTTAAGATATTTTTATGTTTATACATTCTTTTTTATAGATACAAATATTTAAGTAAATGCTCTGTTTATAATAAGCAGTATTAACAACATCTACCAGCTTGAATGTTCGAGAAATTGTCATAGAAAATATGCGTCCTCCGAGAGGAATCGAACTTGTATCCGATACGGAACTGTCATTACATGCTGCTTCAAGTCTCTTCTTCATCTTTGAGCAGATTGTCCAGCATTCACTGCCATACAGGAGGACATATCACGTGACAGAAATCAGAGCATTTCTATGTCAAAAGATTTGTTTTACCAAAATCAGCCAAGAATTAGAAAGGATATTTACTTGGTGAATTATACTTTCAAAGTATAATGTTGCTTAACTGTACTGAGTAATTTGTGGAAGGCGAACACGAATCAGGTCTTTTGAAGTCGGATCTGCCTTATACATTTATTTAGCAATTCTTACTCCCACCCCTAAAAAAAACGTCTATATATTTCCTGCTTAATGTTTTTGTCGGCGAGCGAAGATGTTTTTATTAGTCACTAAAGTCCTGAATAAATGCCCGGTTAACACGGCATCTCTTTACCAAATACTACGTTGTCTTGGCAACAATCGATCGGCCGGGCTCCGGCATCTGGCGAAGTTAAATACACTCGTTTAGTTTCGTTCCAATTCTCAGGATCGCGAGAATGGAAACGAGAACTGAGACAAGAACCGAGAACAATACATATCGGTCCTTTATTGATAGAACTACGTGGTGAAATGCCATCTCTTTCTCTCTCTCTTTCTCTCTCTCTCTTTCTCTGTCTTCCGAGAACAGACATACATACGATATTCACAATTTACATAGATATTTTAAAATGTTATATTATTGTCTTATATTATTTTTTTATCGAAATTACACACACACACACATACATATATATATAGGTTTCTTGATTTGCTAATTGTTAAATCAATTTCGAAGGAAAAAAGGTTTTTAAAAAAGAAAGAGCTAAGAACATGAACGTCTGTCGAAAATAATCGTACAGTATACAGGTCCAAAGCCCAAAGAAAAAAACCCAATATGAGTAATCAACTAACTAAAAAGTGCTCAATACAAAAGTAGAGCACACCTAGTCAAACCTAGAGAGCCAGACAAACCTACCAAGGTTTCACCTAAGCAGATCGTAAGGGAAATAATATAATTTTTAAAGAAATAAATATATATATATATATATATATATATATATATATATATATATTCTCAATATTATATTATTTTTATATTGAAATTCACCATAACCCAATTGAAAACCTTTGGGCGATAATGGACAAGCGTGCCTGTAATAGGAAAGTTAATACAGAAGATGAACTTTTTCGCGAATTAAATGAATGCTGGAAAAAATCTGAAGGCGGACGTTGGCTTAACAATGAATTTAATCTATAGCAAGCCACGAAGAATCAAGGCCGTTATTAAATCAAAAGGTTACCCAACAAAACGCTAAATAATTTTTTGAATTGTATAATGTACATATGTGCACATGTATTAATACCCTGCATTAATTAACGAATTCTATTACACACTTGTCTTGGCAATAATATAAAAATCGACTTTCTATAGATGTGACCAATTTTTTTTTAT